TAGCGCAGCAGCGCTTGCGCAGCATGTAGCAAGTGCCCGAATGCGGAATGCGGGGGCAGGCACTTTCCTATATGGAAATGGCATGCCTGCTGCGTGCTGCCTGGCTGTGTTGGGCCCCTCGCCTAGAAGCTTCCGGAAGGCCCCAAGTGGTCGAGCCCCGGTCTAGGGGAATCAGACACAGGGCCTGGGGTGACCCGTGTCCAACTGCCGACAGCCTGTGCGCAGTCCATGCCCCGTCTTTAGCCCAGGGCCTGCCTCAGATACATTTGAGAAAGGCAGGCAGGGCCTGTGTTCTTTCAACCAATTGGAGCTGCGCAACTGCCTAAATTTCCCGTTGCGTGGTAAGCCCAAAATAGGCCTGGGTGGTATTCTAGGTTTTCCAAATTTCCTTACCTATCACTACCTTTTTGCGAGTCGACTACTTTTATTCCTCTTCTTCGAACTATGTGGTGGAGGAGGTCGGCTCGTCGAACGAAGACGAATAGTAGAAATCTACTCTCAATCACTATGGATTTGGGTTAGGTTGTTTTGTCTACTGTTCGTATCTTCCGAGCTATGTGGTGGAGGAGGTCGGCTCGTCGAAAGATGGTGAAGAGTAGGGGGCTGTGGGAAAGAGGGAGGGGTTTCTGAGGATTTCTGTGTAGGCTGTACTTCGGGTAACAACCTTTATCTCGCGAACTATGTGGTGGACGAGGTCGGCTCGTCGCGAGATGAAGAAGACCGCTGCATGCTGCTTCGTTGTGAGAACCTGTGAACTCGTCTTTCGCTGCAGCTTTTCATCTGGCGAACTATGTGGTGGAGGAGGTGGGCTCGTCGCTGGAAGAAGCAGGAAGTGGAGAGAGTTTGCAAGTAGATGGGTGGATATTACGCGTCCTACTAGTGAGGGGGCTAGCTAGTAGGATAGGAATAGGGCACAGCTAAGTCTTGCTGGAGTGGGGCAAAGAGGCTTTTGAGGAGGTTCAATGAGCAGTTCAATGAGCGGTTGGTCAAAGGTCTGTAGTATACGCAGGTCTTCTAATAATTTCCCAAAAAAAAAAAACAAAGAATTTTCTAGTAGGTTCCTAGTCTCACTTTCATGAGATTTTCTGACGAGTTTCTGAACGTACTCGTTCTGGGACGCTGGGCCCGGTTCCCAGTTTGTGCCAATATGTGAGGATATGGTTGTATCTATGGGACGCTGGACCCGGTTTCCAGCAGGTGCTGCTCCCCACCAATAGATGGAGCCTTCGTTTGAAAAAAAAAAAAAAAAAAGCCTCTCGTCCTTGGTCGGGCCTGCCTTCACTTACGGCGGCCGATATTGCTGTAAACAGGGCCCAGTAGGGCTTGTCGAGGCCTTGAGCCTCGCATTGCCCTTCCACCTCTTCCCTTTCTGCAAATCCTTACGATAGTGACAAAATTCAGCCTCTTGGAGGAAACCGTGGCTTGCTCTACAGCCTCCTTGCTACACTCCTCGTACGTCATGCCTTCCTCCTTGGTTTTGGGGTAAAGCTGGGACCTAAGGGGACTTGGTAAAGCTCTAGCGAAGTTCTCTAAGATCTGATTCGAAGTGAGGCCATGGCCAGGGCACTACAACAACTAGTCCATGATGGACTTGAGGGCAGAAACGCTCCTCCACTGATGTCTACCTATATTCAGTAGTAGGTACTCGGTTCGACGGGCCTCGTTTTTGTCCTCAAATCTCTCTTTCAAGGCCCAGACAAACGTCCAAAATGTCAGTTTGTCGTGAATACGCTACCATGGTTTCGCAGCCCGCACTTCTCATCAGAGACAACACAAAATTTGCCGCATTTGAACACGCTACCATGGTTTCGCAGCCCGCACTTCTAATCAGAGACAACACAAAATTTACACCATCTCCCCCTAGGCACAAGCTTGCCATCAATACTCTATCAAAGTGGGGAATTAATTGCACGTACAAGTCTGTGTCCATGGTCGCCTCCCACTGCACAAACCTTCCCCCCTTTGCCCCCGTGAAGGTCCAAGGGATCTTCACTTCCGTTTTCTCCTTTCTCTCCCCTTCAAGTTGTTTCACATCTCCTTTCCCATCTCCTCTTTTTTCTGTCACCATCTCCATCGTCTCCATCCCCATCTCTGGGTCCTCCGCTTCCTCCACCCTTCATTTGTGCTGCCACCTATGTGAGTTTGTCCACGAGGATATCTTCTAGCCTATGTGCGTGGTGAGCAGCTCTCTGTTTGATCTGGTGGAGGTTCGCTACGACATAATTTTTCCACTTACTTTTACATTCCTCTTGGTGGACCTCCATCCTCTCTACGGCCATGCGGGTCGCAGCGTGTTCCTGCGTGGAGTGAAAGACCGCTTCAATGAGGAGGGCTAATCGGGCTTGGGCATCAACTTCTCCATTCTGTTTCTCTTTCAGCTTTCACCGGACTTCCTCTCCCTCCTCTTTCAACCTTTTCTCCTCTTCAAATTCCCTCCTCTTCTGCGCCTGCATCCTCACATTCATTGCACTCTCAGGCTCTTGAATCAGGAGGGGTCTCTCACGAGGGTCTGCAGCCTGCAGCTTGGCTTGGAATGCTGCCACTTTCCTCTGTCTCATTAACCGGCCTCTCCTTGAGAATGCCAAACTTTGCCAGCCGCTCATGTGTCTCATCCTGGTGTAAATGGCTGCTCTCCACTCTTCGTATTGTCCTCCCCCTCCTCTCTGCTGCTCTCCACTTTTCGCATTGTCCTCCCCCTCCTCTCTGCTAATCCACTTCTTCTAAAACCTCAATTTCTTCTTCCTCCACGATTTTCCTCACCTTTTCCTCCATTTCCTTTTGTCACTTCTCTTCTAGTTTTTTTTGTTCTTCTTCTACCTTCTTCTTCTCGTCCTCCATCTTCTTCTTAATCTCCTCTTTCTTCTTGTTAATCACGACCTTCTCCTTTTGTTCCTGCAACTTTGCATCCATTTTAGCTTGTTCCTCTGGTGAATATGGTTCTGTGGACCTACCGAATCTAGGCACTACGTCCAACATGAAGGCATGACGAAGTCCCAAGAGGAGGGGGCCCCATATCACACTGAGGGCCAAGAATCCAAACATAGGGTAGTCCTCCATGGTGAGATTCAGGTACAGTAGGTAGACTCCACCTCCTCACCAAGTAGACCTAACCCTCAACTTACTCATCTCAACACTTAACACTAATCCTGACCTAAATCGGGGTCTGATAACTCTATTCTACTTTTACTTCCCTTCCCCATGTCCCCTGACGAGCTCGTGGCCAACCATCCGTTTAAGGTCTGCCAGCACGGACCTCAGGAATTATTTAACGACGCAAACAGGACGTTGTGGTCACCAGATACAGGTTGGTTCTCAAGACGTAAGGCCCGTCACTGCGTCAGCACCGTTTCGGTCGCATGCCGGTCAGTACCGGTCTTAGGGCTACACGCGTTGTTTTACAAGCGCCCGCTGCTCATGCCCATGCTCCCTACTTTCAGGTGATACATCCAGCTGCCGAACATCTACCTATCCACCTACTCCCTTCACTGCGTCAGCTCCAGTTTACGGCCGTGCCGTTCCGTACCGGCCATTGGGCTAGCCGGGTTGTTTTACGAGCGCCCGCCGCTCACGCCCACGTCCCCTACTTTACGGGCGATACATCCAGCTAATGGGTTCAGTCAACATGCATCCTCAACACGTAGGACTGACTCAAAGACTCGCATCAGCAAGAGCAAGTGCAACCGGATTGACATCAACAGAAATAGCTCATTGCAGCAGAGGTCTCCAAGAAAGTTCAGGGAAGCTACCGACGCCAAACAAAAAAAGATTGCATAAAAGACAAGGGCCAGTGCAAGAAACACTTTACTAATCTCCTCTCGATGAAGCTCCTTGACATAAAAGACACGGGCCAGGGGAAGATGACGTGTGCCGGTTGCCCGTTCCAAGCCACTTCTACTTACGAACTCACCTCCATTGTGACCCCGCCAAGCTTCTCTCGCCTCCTTTTTTTTTTTTTCGCCCGCCAGCCTTATCCCTTGCCAGTGCTGCTTCTCCAAGCAGCTGTAGCAGGATCCAGCTCCGATACCAATTGCAATGAACCGTGCGTCCGTGGCCCTCGACCTCGCACACACATGCAACGAATATCCAGATGAGTATTCACACTTGGAGCCGATAGCCGAGACACAAGAATATCGCGAGAGATTGATAACCTCAGTCTCTCTCTCACTTCCTAGGATCGTGCCCTGGATACACCCTATCAGATCAGATTCCAACCTCGGTGGCTATCGCCACCCTTGCTTCCCTATCACTACCCTAGCTATGGTTGCATTTGGCACTCCTTCGAGGAGCGCGAGCTTGCCCAAGTCGCTTGGTCACACAAGCAGCAGCAGTGCTTCTGCAACTTCACGAATGAACAACTGTGTCCCGTTGCTGCACTGCAGCAGCTAAATATAGTACGTGGACTTGGCTTGGCTTGCCTCAGACTGGACTGGTACCGGTCAGCCTCGCCCTGTCTGCTGCAATCTTTTTGTCGGTCCGGAATCTTCCGGCCTTTCCTGGGACTTAGTGCAATTTTTATGGACTCCAACACTGGACTTGGGACTTTCCTGATTCTTCAGTGTGGTACCGGAAAGCTGTACACGACTCAGACCTCTAGACTTTTCTGCTGGGTACTAGCCCCTCAACCCCAACCTGACTCTCCGGATGTTTCCTGACTCGGACCTACGACAATTTATAGGCCTATCAGACCTACCCCTCGCGGCGCTGGGACTTGGGGTTTCAGAACCTTCTGGACTTTTGGGACTTTGACGCCCGCTCCCGGGGGTCTGCAGCGTGAAATCCTTTCAATTCTGTTTCTGGTTGGATCTGGATTCGAACTCGGGTCTGTATTTCAACAGTTCGTAGGTGTATCAACTGAGCTAGGCCCGTTGGTTGTTTATGGGTGTATCAACTGAGCTAGGCCCCCATTGGTTGTGTTTATGACATAGTGCAAGGTACACCTTTCCCTATAACACATTCTCATTTGCTTTTTTTTTTTTTTTTTTTTGCTCTTATACGCATACCGTATTTGCTCCGGTAGATGACCTCATCCAAAGAATAATCCTCCTCTGTCGCCCTCCCAGGAGAAAACGGGATGTATTTCGCATGAAACTTGTTGCCTTCTTCGTGGAGATCTGCTCAATCACCATGCATCCAGACGAGGGAGAAGGAAAAAAACAAGGACAATCAGAAAACACTAGCAACAGGTGTCACACAGTTACAAACGCAAAAGGAAAAGAAAGGAAAAAAGGAAAAATGAAGGTGACAAAACAATTCGCTCAGTTACTGGTCCATTCACTGAGCAATCGACAAACGAAGACATCAGACTTGGGGCATATTCACACGATTCAAACTTTTTTTTACTGTGTATCTGACCTTAATTATGGTTTAGATTGAGTCAGGAAAGTTCTAGCATGAGTATATGATGCAAACTTGGCGTGAGTCCCCGTTCACTCATCCACTGCTACATGCACCCATCCATCCACTCATTGAATCCAGTCATAATCAATCATAGGCCATCAATGTATGCGCTACTTGTCTCCTAATGACTGCATGGTGCCACATGTAACCTCCTATGGTCCCCTAAAATGTTTATATATACATATACATAAACATACCTGTATATAGCGTATATCGTCATAGAGAACTGCCTGGTAAGCCATAGGCAGAGAGGGAGAAGAGGACAAGAAGCGAGGGGCTGCAACAGCCGGTCTCGCCGGAGTTCACCGGACTCATCGGGACATGTGTATACATGGTACATGCAACATATACATATATGTATACATAGATATATATATCATATATATAAATTACCAGTAGGGCCTAAGGGTCCCGCCACCCAGGGTACCCAAGGTGCCTGATGATAGATGTGTGTTTGTATATATATTGTCACATGAATACCAGAGCGCAAAGGCGAAAAAAACAGAAGACTGCGTGTTGTCGGAAGCTTCAATTAATTGGTCCAAATCAGTATATTTTTTACCGTCCATATTTGTGTTAAAAGTAGAATGGGGATTGAGAATTGTTCCAACGGAAAATTAGGAGCAGTTTTTAGGAGTTCAGGTCTCACTCTCTGATTGCTCCGAAGTTCAAGATCACTTACTCTCCAGAAAAACAACAGCCAGAATTTCTGGTTGGATTCGAAACTACAAACTGTCCCTATTCGGAAGGGCCCTGGTTATCTCAGCAGCGGCCTTCTCGATCCTGTGGTTTCCCCTATCGGTCTGCTTGTTGGGTAATGAAGCGTATGGGGAGATCCGAAGGTCCGCGGCTAAGTCTATTTGGAAGCCAGAGGCTGAGGAGGATCAGGCCTTTATCCCTAAAGTCGCTTGGGATGCGGTAACACGTCCCAGATTCTTAGGGGGCCTGGGCATTTTAGACCCTCAGTTTCAGAACCTGGCATTGCTAGCCAAATGGGTGATAAAGGCTTGTGTTGATCATCCCTCGAAATTATGGATTAAACTCGCAGAACATATTTTGGGAAATGAATGGTCCCTGTCAGACAAGTCCACGTTTGGCATTGCTGTCTGCTGCCCTCCTTCTTGAATAAAAGGATTAAATGATAATTTAAGCCTAAAGTTTGGAGGGGCATTCTCTCGGCATGGAAAAGGCTCTTTCCCAAAGAGCTTGCTCCTCTGAATACAAAACAAGAGATAGCTAGTCAGTACTTGTTTGACAACCCCAGAATCATCCTCCCAGATGGAGCCTGTTTCTCCGAAAGGGAGAGGGGGGGGGGGGGGGGGGGGGGGGGGGGGGGCGGGCCGCCGGGCAATTTTGCCCGCTACTGGATAAGTAAAGGTGTTTTACAGATTGAACATTTGTGGGATGAAGATAGGGACGACTGGACTACGGTTGAAGATTTACGCAGGCGTCTCCCTTGTTTGAGAAATGTGTCAGAAAACCTGAATTTACTATTGGCAGCAATACTGAGGCACTGGTCGGCAGCCTTGAAATCTACACCCCAAAATGGCAAGGGGACCTGGATTTTGGTTGATGGGGATAACAGAAAGGTGTGGAAGGTTTTGGGCCCTGAGCTGGATGGAAAGATCAGAGTAGAAGAATGGCATCTTCGGTCCTCCATCAGGCAGAATAGCCATCTACTTCACATAGGGGAATTAGCGGTCTAGCACACAGGGATGCACGGAGCTAAGAGTTCTACAGCAGCACTTCTGGGAGAAGCGGGGAGCTTCAGGATAGAACCCCTTCAACGTGGCTGGACTTTCTGTCCGCCATCCCCTTCGGTACCAGGGTCCTCTACTCCTATGGTCTAGTACAAGACCAAGGTAGGAGTCAAATGCCTACAGGCACGCTTACCTACGTCGCCAACAGATCTCGCCACGAGACGTTTCAGACGTCTTCAGGGGCCCTTGGCCTCTTTTCCTAACCGGTCATCTCTGTGGAGAGCTATTCGACGCCTCCCCTCACAGAAAAATGCCAGCCTACTCTGGATGCAGTCGCTGATGGTAATTCCTACACAGCATTGTGGCTGAATTCCAGAGGGCTCAGTCTGCCGATAGAATGTACCCGCTATAACTGGGGTTGGGAGTCTAACTCCCATCTCTGGATACATTGTCCATTGGCGGACGAGATCTGGCAGTGGTGGTCTACTCATTGGAAGAGATTGGTAGGTGACCTTTTCCCCTGGACTGACGACTGGGTGCTGTATTCGGTCTTACCAAAGCCTGGCCTTATCCTCTCGGAGGTATGGGGGTATGTCGCATTGGTATGCTGAGGGATCATCATGCAGACGATTTGGCAGGCTAGAAACAGGGCTATCCATGCAACAGCAAATACAGCAGATTCGAGCGGGCATAAGAATTTCCCTACTTTCAGACTGGAGACTTCATTCTGGCCCACAGGGCAAAGGACGTATTTGGTTTCTCAAAACCTGGGCTTCTGGTAGCCAGCTGGCTGTTCTTAATCTGGAAGGAATCTAGTAGTCTGTTACATAATTAGAGCAGTCTTCTAACCGTGGTAGGTTGGATAGCTCGGCCTCGGGACGCCATGTTTCCTTCTGGAGAGGGTTTGGACTCTCCCTAGGGAAAGAGTAAGATTGTGCTGATGTTACACCTTTTTCCTACGCTTCAAAGTTGAATTTTTGGAAAGTTTCTTCCTTTAGCATGGGACACTGGACCCAGTTTCCAGCTGGCTTTGGCCTGGTTGTTTCCTTGGTCGTTGTCTGGTACTTGTAAGCTAAACTGGCTGATGCTGCCAGGATAACTCCGGGTAGAATTGTGAGGTCCCCGGCCTCATCCCATGGAATTTTTGTAATAAATGATTCTGCAAGGAAGATGAGCAATAGCGAACTTCAGCAATCAAACAGCATCATACACATAAGACCAGATAGTCGTGACCTCGAACCAAGCGCAGAATTGCATCACGAGTTTCACCAAATAAGAGCACACCAAAAGCTCATAATTGACAATGCTGGAATAGTCTCATCATCATCAACGAAGAACCAATGTTGATATCCTATCTGGCGCTCGGCGCCCAGACTACAGATGGCAGATCCTATCTAGCCTAGACTACAATGCCGAAGATGATGACAACAGCTCTCCTGAAGTACGAGCAGATAGAGGCCAATGCCGCACGCTTCCAGCACCAGGTATGTCTCTCGCATCACTCACTACGTCGTTCCCCAACACACAGATGCCACATGCACCCAAGGACCACCCTGCGCCACATCCAGCTCACAGCAGCGCAGCTCGGCTATGGCTGCCTGCTCCTTCCTGCTCGCCCGTGAGCGCGTGAGCACCAGCCAGCTTCAGCGCAGCAGCGCTTGCGCAGCATGCAGCCAGCACCCGAATGCCAAATGCGGAGGCAGGCCCTTTATATATGGAAGTGGCCTGCCTGCCTTCTGTCCCAGGCTGCGCTGGGCCTTTCCCAAGAAGCTTCAGGTAGGCCCCAGTAGGCTGACGCCCAGTCCAAACGAATCAGGCCCAGGGCCTGTGGTGGTTACTTGTGCCCGACTGTCCTCGGCCTGTGTTTGGCCCATATCCCGTATCCAGCCCAGGGCCTGCCTTCCATACATGCAAACAAGCGGCCTGGGCCTGGGTGCTCTTCAACCAACTGGCGCTGCGCAACTGCCTGAATTTTCCACAGTTGCGTGGTGACCGAGATAGGGGCCCTCAGGCCCTCTTCGAGCCTGCCTTCACTTAGGGCGGCCGACGTGCTGCATAACAGGGCCAAAAGGGGCTCATCGGGGCCTTGGCCTCGCATTCCCTCATCTATAACTTTGATAGTCCTCTGAGAAGTTCAGTCTTCGATAATCTGGCGCTTTCCCTTCTGCAGAGAGTTTTCATATTGGGCAACAACCTGAGGAGCGGTCTGCATCAGTTCCTCCCTGGTGAACCATCGATCCTCCTTTGGATCCGTGTGATGTCTGAACCGAACCCGGTATTGCAGCTTCGATTTCGGAGGACGTCCCCTGCCTGTCGGTCTTGGAACTGGCATTTCCTTATGGTCGACGATGTCATCGATGTCGACCTCTCCATCCATGGTTGGGGGCAGCATTGAGCGACGAGAGGGAAACTGATCAGTTTCCTCAAAAGGTGCAAGATTAGAAGCGTGAAAGACAAGATAAGTGCGGAGATGGCCAGGGATCCGGATTACATAAGACGGTCCATCCGGATCAGTCCCGACGATGTCTAAGACCTCCCATGATCCGAAGTACTGAGGCATGAGCTTGCGGGAGATCCCGTGCTCCTGTCCCAGTTCTGAGGACTTAACCCAGACTCTGTCCGCAACCTGGAATGTAGATGGGCGGCGGTGCCTGTTTTCAGATTCTATCATTGCCGCCTGTGCCTTTTGCATCTGTTCTACTGCCTGCTGCATTTTCTGTTCGTAGCGATAAGCGAATTCTAAGGTATCCGGTGCAGCAGTTGGCTGGTTCTCAGGAAGGAGAAAATCTAAGGGCAGTCTAGGCTTGAAGGTCAGTAATAAGCTGTTTGGGCTCACCCCGGTGGCGCTGTGTACAGCGTTATTGTACAAGCTGGCGATGAGAGCAAGCTTCTCATCCCAGTCCACCTGATTGGGCTTGATGTAATGCCGCAGCAGGTGTTGTACAGCGCGGTTCAGTTGCTCCGCTTGGCCATTGGCCTCTGGGTGATTCCCAGAACTCATCTGCAACTGCGTT